GGCAGTGTCAGCGCCAGCGCGGCACCTATGGGTTTCATTTCACGAATCACTCATGCTCCATGCTCGAGATAAGCAAACTCGCAGCGCCACTTGTCACAACAAGAAACTTCCCCTTTCTTTCACTCCTTTCTGCCTCTGATCCTAGAGCAGAGCACTACGTTGTATTGCACTCTTTTAGTTGTATACGTAGGCCCACAATTACTAGAAAAATACCGGTATGGATCATAAACATAAACAAATGACGTTGTTGGCCCGAATCCTATACTAATAGCATTGAACATATTTTTTGGCAGTTCCATCTAAGCAATGTTAAATAATGTTTATTTTCGGGCCAAAAACGTCAGTTGTTGTTTATGTTTATGATCCATACCGGTATTTTTCTAGTAATCGTGCGTGGGCCTATACCGTATCGGAATCGTATTGGCATTGTTTTGATGATTCATGATTGTTGATAAGCGAATTATTATGAGTGTTTTAAGTTTAATTTATAATTAGCGCATTAAATAAAAAGAAAGTATAAACTGAATGAATGAGTAAAACATATTGCGAGCCGAAACTATGGAAACAATGGCAGAAAAAAATTTGGAATTTGGAAGAGGAAGAAAAAAAGCCAAATGAATGAGTAGACTTTTGTAGAAATCTGGTGGCGAGTCCAGTCAGCCCAAAGAAGTCACGATATAAGACGGCAATGACGTAGGTATTTATTTATTTATTTGCCAAGGAAAGATTAAAACAAGCAGCTGATCACAAACGGCAAACATTACGTCATTGCCGTCTTCTATCGTGACGTCATGCTTGACGAGCATTACATTACGGCCTGTTTTTTAGTGTGTCATTGGTTTTGCTATAGTTTATATGATGAGTAAAAGTGTATAAATGTCACATTTCTGCGAATAATAAACAACCTTTTATTGCAAGTTAGTATTCTTCTACCTAAACTTATACAAAAATTTCTTCCCAAAATTATTGGGAAAAAATTCACAAATACGGTTAAGTTACCATGTTCATGGGTTGGGGGGGGGGGGAGTGGCGCTGATTCGGGTGTTCGCTTAACTCTGAAAAATTCCTAGAACCGGCCCTGTTTGCACCATTGTCCCTTGTCATGTCGGCTGGTGAACGATTTGTTTATCGCGCGTGTTTTCTATTGAACTGGGAATAAAAATATCTGTACACTTTTGATCTGTAAAAACTATTTTGTATTTATTCACACCAAAAAAAACAGGAATACGACAAGAACTATACATACACATGAATATGATAAACTTATAAAAGATACCAAGATAAACTACCAATTAATTCAGATGAAAAAATTTTCAAGTTTAAGTTATGATGGACTCAGAGAACAGTGGTTGGTGGTTTAAGAATACAGGGGGGTGGAAATGGAATATATGGTGTATCCCTCAGTTAATGAAGTGTTACCATTATTTTATCTTGGCTAAAACTTCAGTTTATCGTTATTTCCACCATATTCGTGTTTTAGAATGAGTTATTATGTATGTATTTTATTTAACTAGTATGAATTGGATATGGAGAACAATGTGTGTGTGTATCAACCTGCTCCCCCTCCTTGGAGGTATTCTCCTCAATGCACTCTCGATATCGAGGTTCGTCTTATTGAGGCTCATTTCTTCCAGGTGTAACATGACATAGAGCAATGAGTCAAATGTAGGAGTCAGCTGATCATTTTTCCAAGGTTGTGCTGTTGCCGATTGTCAGTTTAATTGGGTAGCGGACAACGGTCTCGGCTGGTTTGATGGCCGAGGGACTTGTTGTACACGTGTGTGTAATGGTGTAATGGAGGAATGGCACATCCATCGCCTCCGGGCCACAATATGTCGGTGATGTTGCAGATCGGGTTTTCAGTCTTGGCAGGCGCCGTTTTAATAACATGCAGCCTGCAATTACGCCGATGTATCAAGTGCCGTTAACATTCCCGTTCCTGACTTGTATCGATCTTAATTAAACTAAATTGTTCATCAGAAAAGCCACTGAACAGCTTCGGTATGGTAACAAAACTACTGTTTAACATAATAATTACTTGTCACTTTAGAGGAGTTACAATAGGAGTGTGATAATGTGTTAATTTTAATTTATGTTGCAGGTATGCAGCGGAAATTGGTCCTCCGAGGCGATTGGTGAATAAAATAATCTATTTACTTTGCTAATCTTGACCAAAACTGAGTGTCATTAAGACAACATGTGGAAGGGAGCTACAGATTCATAGAACCTATTTACTAAGCTTACTATCTGAACTAGGCTTAGGCAACTGTAGTTTGAATAACTAATTAATAAAAGAGTGATTTTATTTACACAAAAATATGTACAATTTATTTTACTTAGCACTAGAAACAACATCGGAAATTCATTCATTCAATTATCGGATTTAGTATTTAACTATGCTTTATCAAAATAACTGGCTCATATTATATTAGTGTATGTAACTGTTCTCGAGATGTGGTAAATACATTCTGATGACTATTAATTGTGACTTTATGAAGGTCTTTTTTATAACGGAAAAATATATTAATACATATGCCCAATTCTCTCGATTAATAGTATCATCCACCTATACGCGTTCCAATTACAAAATTAATTAAAACAAAACTTCCCTAAGGAACATTTCAAGCGAACTCTCGTAAGCAGTTGGCAATTCATCGCCGTGACATTGTTGATCGCGGTTTACATAAGAGTGGCTAACGGGCGACGCGATATGAAATGAATGTGAGGTGCTAAATATACAATGGTAGCGGGCGAGCCAAGGGCCGAACCGCAGACAGTGGCCGCACGCGCACACACGGCCGCGCGCGCCATCATTCATACACCGCACACCGCTAGATCGACCAGCAGCGGCAGCGGCAGCCGCGCAGACGGACTCAATCATTTAAACGACCGCGTTAACGACCAAAGAGTTAGGCTGGTAATGAATTTTGTGATTTAGGACCCCGTCAAAGAACGAAAATTGGATTGGAAGTGAGCCTGGCCGCACAATGTTAACCAGATTTCGTTATTTTTGGACACGCTGTTCGCACTGTGTCAAATGAGCATTTCGGGTGCCTTATGGGCCCATCGATCTGGTGGAAAAACTGGGTCGTTTTTCTCCCGAATCTGCGCGCCAATGTGATAACCAGATGGCGTGACGACGGGATTTGTCGCGCGTTTACGTGATTGATACTTTCTCTGTGTGAGTTGCGTCTCGTAGCGACACTACTTTTGATCCCTTGAAAGCTTGTCATTCTGCTAGGCATAAATAACTCCGTTCGTTAAATTGCAGATTGCAAATAACTGCAGTACTTTATGACTTAATCTTGTGAGCTGAGGGTGCAACTAAATTTTCATTTGATTTATGAATTTCTTGTTACTTTTGGGCGAGTAAAATGTTTTTGTATGTAAAATTGTTTAGTTATCTCTAACGTTTCTTGTCAGAATCAGTAATTAACATACCAATGAATGGCAGCTAGACCTAATGTAGAGCCGCAAAAAATGTGGAACCCATTTATCGCAGGATCGGACCGACGACCTCCTATTTTGGAGACGATCACCATGCAGTTATAAGATTTTAGCTATAGGGAAAACTGTATTTCCTTTAGTACCAGCAATTTACTAGTAGTAGTGATGAAAATTATATTGCTTTACATAATCACTCGTAAACAATCAGATCACAAAATCTAGGTAGGTAACCTACTAATAAACGTCAGACAGAATACTTTATCATTGCTATACATGTTTTATCTCAAGAACGTCGAGACGTGCTCCCAACTGAGTTCGCTATTTGCTCAAGCGTGGTCGAACTCGAGCTGACAAGGAATGACAATAACCCGGATCTCATATCTTGGCTGCAATTTGCCACAAGCTACTGAAACATTATTCACTTACTTCAAGAATAACTATGACCAGAGCAAAATTACGTAGTCTTCTTAAACATAATTTATAATATTAATGTCATTTTTCTTTTTGAAATACAAAACAGTCCGTAAGAAAGTTAAAACATGTTTCCTAATTCATTTAATACGTTAAAAATGTTTTGAAAAACCCAAAGAATTCTTTTTCAAAATTAATAAATCTTTAAACACGTTTAATATATTTCTAGAACCATGCTTATTGTTTCCAGGTAACTTCTTTTTATTGAATGGCTATCTCAGGAAAAATATATTTATAAGATACTGTATAGGTAATATGGATTTAAGTTCTAGTAGTACTAGTTACTACAAGTTGTAAGAAGCTGTAAGCAGTTCTAAACCTAGATTTTAGAAGAAATCACTGGAAGAATAATCATAAAATATTTTTTTATCTGCAAAAATTTACTAATTATGAATAATGTTAAAAAGAATTTAATACAGGCCAGGGAAAAATATGTATCAGCAATAAACAATACGGAGTACGGAAAATAGCATTGTTATTTGTTTAACTGTTCATGTTATTTGTAAAGCTCAAAAAATATCATATACATATAATTATTTCGAAAAAGAAACAATATACCGTTTTAACAAATTGAAGAAAAGAAGTAGTCTAAAGATTTGTTTGAGATGGGTTTCTCATAAAGTAATTCTTTGTCTCAGAAAAAATAAGAAAAAAACAGAACAAACACGACATAGTTGCAGCACAACAAAAACGTACATTTAATTCACCTATAAAAGAAGAATTCCAGAAGATACCTTATTAGCAAAAACATTTGATTAAACTCTAGGAATCCGCATAGGAAGTTATTTTAAAATTTAATAAAAAAGTGAAGGGTTATCTCAAAGAAATTTGTGATTTAATCAGTCAAGCATCCCTTAGTCCAACGTAATTTCAATTTCCTATTAACTTCAGAAATACCTACTATTGCAAAACATCCCTAGACACGCGAGAGGTGGTTTGGCGCACGTGCCGCGCCGTTGTGACGTAGTCAGCGCACTGCGCAGCGCCGCGTGTAGGCAGTACGCAGGTGCTAGTGGGCGGGGCGTGGGCATCACGCAGGTAGGCAGGTCCTCGTCGTCCGCTCAGTTTGTTTACTCACAGCGTCCGCGCGCGGTGATCGGCGATCCTCTGTGTGCGCGGCGACCATATGTTCTCAAGGACATGTCGTGTTTTGAGGTGACGTGTTCGGTTAAGCTGTGATCGCTGGTGTTGTGTTGACTTTTGTTTACGTGTTTGTGATTTGTGCTGAAGGCGTTTGTGTGTTTGCGGAATTAATCATGTGAGTGTTTACCTATTGATCATTTGTGTTGCTATTCAGATAGTCCCTCTTACTATTTCCTCTTGAATTTTTTATCCTTCTTTCATTTTAACAACTATTTTCTTTCATTAATTTAAGCTAAATTGGCTTTCCAATAAATGGTTATAGAGATAAAGAAATAGTTGACCTTATTCGGTGGCAAAACTACACAGATCATCTTAATAGGTGTTACCGTGTAGTAATACTTTCAGCAGAAATTACCTGGCGTAATCTTAAATTCGCAAAAGTAATGATAATCATAAAAGTATTGACCTCCGTCAATGAATACACAAACTATATATATAGTTTGTGTATTCATTGCCTCCGTATTGGTGTGTAATCGTGGTTGAAGTTAGGTTCTAGGTGCAGGTTTAGAAGAGATTTTACTTTTCGATAATTTTGTGTTTTGAAGGAACTCTGTCCAAATATTTTTATTTCATCCTCCAATTGACAAATGTTTGCTGTCTCCTAAGTTTCTTGTTATTCATCATTCTCTTTTGTTATTTTATTATTTTTCTGGTAGCCTATGTTTCGCAACTTTTTCACCTCAATTCGATCATGTCAATTAAACCCGTCTTATCAAGACAGCATTTTCACTGTCTCAGAAGTTTCTTGTTATTCATCATTCTCTTTTGTTATTTTATTATTTTCTGGTATGTTTCGCAACTTTTTCACCTAAATTCAATCATGTCAATTAAACCCGTCTTATCAAGACAGCATTGTAGCCAATACTCGCTCACACAACACAGTTTTGTATTAGTAGTAGAGCGTGATAGCTGAGGCTCGTGTCAGGGCCGCGAGTACCAGCTGTGCTGTGCTGTGAGGTTTGTTGTTCTCCGCGAGGTAATCTCCAAGTTCATTAATATCCCCGCTTGCGACATCGACACCGGGTTTACGACATCTGGATGTGATGCGTCATGTCGCACGGTGGCTTCCGACATACATGTGATGTGAACACGCGTACAACATAGGGGATGTGTGGGTCAGAGGTTGAATCTGTGTGGAATCACTTTTACTTGTTAAGTTTTCGCGACAATTCTGTTTGGAAGCTGTCCAGGTTGTCTTGTTTCTTTTGGGAGTTGAGCTTTTTGTGTCCATATAAATAATTTTATATGGACTACGTTTTTATGTAGTCCACGACTTGTCAGACAGTGTATATATTTACACAAACAGTTTTAGGGTTTTTATAGCTTTGTACCTCTCAATATTTTGTTTACGTGAACTTTGTAGTATAACATTTTCTACATACTTTTTTCAGGACCTAACAGCGTATTGGGTGTTGAATGCATTGCGTATGGGTTCGATGTGATGTTATTGAACACCTCTTGGATGTGTGGTTATTGAATACCCTAGTGAATACCTGTATCAGCATGGTGGTTAATATTTTTCACGCATTGTAAATTTAAAATTACCCATCTAATAGCACATCGAACTCCTGTTTACAGTTCGTAAAAAAAAACTCAAGGCTTATTTATTGTGAAACCCCCTTAATCCCTCCTTACAAAGAGTAACAACTTAAAGTGTCCATTCTTTCTTGACCATTAGGCTGAGACAGCCGATTGACATTTATGTTCCATTATAATCGAAAATATGCATCTCCTTTTGGCAATGATTTTCTACAGCAAAGACCACCGGCCCCAGTACGCCACCTTGAGGCACGCCGTGTCCTAACGCGCTGCACGTTGCACGAGGGTGTTGTTTTACGTTGGCCCCGGTTGTTGACGGCCGATACCTCACATAAACAGATTTTACGATCGCCGCGCGATTACCCGCCCAGCCGGCGCTGCGGTCGTTAACCGATGTTTTTGTTTGGTCCTTCTTCGGCTCGTTCACTCAACTAACTCACTGGGTTAAGTGCTGCTGAAATTAGTTTATAAACTGCGTGGTTTACAGAGACAGTATTTACTCCTATCACCATTTGGTTATTGAGTAAAACTCAGTCCTTTGATTGTGCATTGGAGTAGGCATTCCGTTCACATTTTGTATTTGTGATCAGTTATAGGTAGAAATGAACCTCCGACAAAGTCAATTATTTGCTTTACTGATTTCTGCCGAATACATTTTTTAACCAGGTCAAACCTACAGGGACTCTTTTTAAATTATTGAATATTTTGTTTCACATCACCATCAGTAACCAAATATAGGTAGAAAATAGAAATTTGACTGTAACACACTCTGTGAATCATTCAACTATCTCCATTAAAAAATTTGCTACTGCTGGTCCCTTTAGATTGAATGGCCATTTCAGTATCAGAAATTCAATGTTACTTAACAACGGTGGAATACTAATTTAAACTATATTCGATTTTTAATTTCAAGTTTTTAAATGACTTATGTTTCATTAAGACATCCGTTACACTTAAACTAAACACCAATAACAAATCTGTTCGGTTTTAAATGATAAGTTGTCGCTTTTCCTTAATTTGATACTAATTTGGGCCCGAGAATCCTGATAAATTCAAAAACCTGCTCAGGAATTTGAGAAGACTTTGGTTATCTATATTACAAAGAAGTCCTACAAGTGAAGGAAAACTGTTGAACCTGTCCAGATTGGTCTGAACTTGAACTTGCAGTTTAATCACAGTGGATAAGTTTTCAACGAGATTTCTTTCAATTAATTATATATCGGTCTATTTACGTAGGCATGCCAGAAAGTGTCAACTAAGTCATCTATGGCATGCCTACGTAAGTAGATTTTCATATATTGTCAAGGCTGTTCCATTGACCGAAGACAATATTATGAAGAAATCACATCTTTTTCACTATGTATGTGTAGCCATTCTCGTCAGTAAAGAAATATTTTATATGATAGAGCCATTCACCGAACGTAGTACGATCTAAATTTCAAATACAGTACCGTATTTTCTAATTTTGTCACACACATTGTGGTTAATGGGATAAAGAATGCTATAGATTACAATTAACTAGTTGTAATTTCAGTTGGTTACGAATAAATCATGTTAGTAAAAGTTTCTTATCTTCATGTACAACTGGTTAAAATTGATTAAACCAAAATGTCGCGGTCATCCTGAGAAAAGTGTGTAGCTTTTTGATGATTCCAAACTGGACAAAGCTAACCTTGATCATTTGGATTTTAGTCAGTGGTCCTAAATAAAAAAACCGCTGGTCTTAGAACAAAGCTAGACATCACACTCCATTCTACACTCATCCTTCACTCAAATACGCGCATAGATATCCCCATCCCTACCTAGTTCTTTAACAGTCAAAAATAGCAATCCATCCTTCAATTGTACTTCTCATTACGAAGCTGAAGCCCCTCTATCAAGCATATTTTGTCAACTGGTTAGTGTCTTCGAAAGTACACACTCTCCTGTTAGCCTCTCTGAATGGCGTTTTCCTGCAAAGTCTTCCTCCGCAGCTGATCGCGTGTGAGCAGCGCGTGGCACATGTTTGCAAAGTCCAGATGTTTTATATCGCAGTTTTGTAACCATGTCTGGTGTTGCATGTTTACTCCACCGTTTGTTTACAAGCCCCTTTATCAATTCGCCGAGGATCTGCGCTAACAGGTTTATACGCTGAGCAAACATTTTCACGTTTACTGGGGAAACTTTCGCAACACGTATTGTTGAGTTTCGGTCAAGTAGCTGTGTTTTAATGTAACATTTCGTAATAAGTAGTATAAAACATAAGCTTAAAACGTTCTATAGAATTAGTTACGGAATAACGATTATAGAGATGTGAACACATGTTGATACATGTATTCTGTATTTCAAGCTCGTGAATCTCCTTCTACACCTAAATGCACAAATGTCGTCCGTACCTACTGAATATTGAAACTTATGTTGTTATTCAATACTGTAGGCCTACTAGTTATTTGAAGACTATCACTTAATTGATCATTATACATTATCACACAGGTAAAACAATAACTCATCCTACACTCATCTCCATTCATACTTGACTTATAATACCTACATTCGTATGGTCGCTGTTTTAAAGTAAAGGATTTAATTATTAATTATGTGGAAAATTAATTAACTAAAAATGTTACCAAAACCGTACTCCTTATCGGCTGATGATTTAACTGTAGAGGTTAAATTAAAATATACGTAATTATTTTTGACAATTTCAGTTCTGATAGGTAGCCAAAATCCAAACAGTTTTACTGAAAACTCTTTCAACACGTTTTATTATGATATTTTTATATAGCTTTAGCATTGCGCACCTTTGATCAACAACAGTTGAAAACAACTTATACAAACCTCTTCCCATAACATTATTGTGGATGCATAACTAATTCCACTATAACCTCAAAACCCTCAAAGCGTTCTTAGTGTACTCGCTTTGTGACAATATGGTGATTGAAGAGTCTCGAGAAAGTATCTCTTTCACATACACACATCAAGTATTGAATGGTTGATTGATATGAGCCACAAACTACACTATCAGTCAGTTGCTGATTGAGATGTGTGGATATCAGCTATCAGTTGTGTTGATCGTATACAATCGAGTGGCGAGTGGGCTGATGAAGTGATGAAGTGTTGATTGGCTGACTTCACCACTCATCGGCCACTCAGGGCGAGGGCCTTCTAAATGGGCTGGAGTAAAGTAGGCTCAATACGATATGTGAGCTGACAGTAGTGGACTGTTTGTATATCGGGTGTTTGAAGGTGATATTATTTTATTTCGTTCAATAATAATGTTGCACCCTTGTTTACGTAGGTGATAGCGCCTACGCGTCTGTGATAGCGAAACAACCTTCCAAAGTTTTTGAGCTTAAATATTTTACTCTTGCATACCTATGTATTACATACAATGGTTTTTTCAATAGCCAGCTCTTTTGGAAACGCGTTCCCTTATAAGTGTTGAGGAAATCATTTGAGATTGAGAGGAACCCTTTTGTGCCTATGAGAAGAAACCCTTTCATATCCACGGAGAGTAACTCGCTTGTATATACTGAGGGTAACGCTTTAGAGCCCAGAGGAACCCACGTTTGCAAGTGTAAAGGAACGTTTTCCAGT